TCTGAATACATTGGCTGGTATGATTTCTATGTCCATGGAAGTATCTGGTGATGGAAATGAGATTGGCATGTTCATGTCCTATGTTTGGGCCCTCAGCCAAATTACCACTGCCTGAAGGAAAGGCTCTGTTGTTTTTTAAACTGGGAGACTGACATGTTCAGAGCAAGCAAACAAAGAGGCAAAGGAGTTCTACTGCAGCTGAAAATAATTCTTTTTCAGAGTGTGATACAGTATGGGGGCCATTTAAATAAATTTTCAGTGCTAGGGCCAGCCCCAGTGCCTGCCACAATATAGCAAGAGCCATGTAATAACATCTTTCATTCTCTCTCAATTTGTGCAGAAGTGTTTGACTTGCCCTGGCGAGCTTTATGGGAAGCAAGGAGAACGTCTCTGTGTGAGAGATTTATAAACATGTCCTTGAAGACTGAACAAAGAGGGGCACGTTCTGCTGAGGAGCTGGCAGTTTTTCTAATCTTTGTCACATTCAGCTATTGTTGTGTTGTTTCACCTTAATGTGACTGTCTCCATCGTGTTCTCTCCCTTAAAACCTTGCAATTTGTTATGTGCAATTTTAATACAGTCTTTCCTGAATAAATAAGTGCATGACTATTGACTTCAGAAAAGAATTAAAGTACTTTTGTGCTATGACCTTACAGGTTTTGCTTAGTCATGCAATGAGGCTTTATTCTGTGAGAAGTGACAGAGTTTTACTGGCAATTTGGAGATCTTTTAGCAAATATTAGTGATTAAAGTACTAAAAAGTATTTTAGGTATAAGAACCAATCAAAACTTGCATTCATTTAGTTAAAGCAATTTAGCAAATTGTATTCAAATTAGCTCCTTTTAACAAGCTGTGAAGCCTGCCGAATTGTATTTTGTAAGACAAATGAGCACACCTTTGCCAATAACAACCGTTATGGCTATTTGAGATGAGCATTTGCTAATTTTGTTTGACTGCTAGGTGGGAGGCTTGGAGAAGGAAGTTTGTCCTAGGGTGCCAAATCCTGAAATGTGTATCATTTCCCTGTGTAGTGTTGTGCTGAGCTGCTGCAGTGCTACGGGGAATTAAAGAAAAGGGTAGTAGGCAACAAATAAATTATGTACACACCTCCTGAATAATTAATGAATATTAGACTGTTCCTTGGTAGTTGAGACAGGTCTCACACTTCAGGAAAAAAAGAAGTGTGTGAAGTTCTAAGTAATTTCCGATGCTGTTTGTTTAGGAGCTTGCAGGATAAATCTTTCACTGGCAGTAGAAGCAGATCAGTGTTCCGAGCCCTGCCATGGGCTTAAACAAAGATGAGAGAAGGAAAGTCACTGACTCAGATCTGTGTGAAATCTTGTGCAAATCTCAAAGAGTTTTATTTTGGATAAGAGTTATTCTGAACTTTTTTTTTTTTTTTAAATTACTGATAGATACAAATTGTGAAGCCAGCCTCAAAGTCAGGCTTTCTTGGTGGTAAGACCCACAATGCCTATTATAAAGGTTTAATGATGCTCCTGTCTCTTGTGGTGATGATCTCCTTTTCATGTGATTCAGGCTTTTGAATTTTTCTGATAGCTGTTGCTGGAGAAGAAAGATGAAAGTGTTTATTTGGTTCCTACAAATGTCCTACTGTCCAACACTTTAATAATCTTCAGCTTGCAAACCATTCAAGCTTGGGGATATGGGAATAATTTCCCCGTAGTTATTGGGTATGTGAAAAATGTGAGTGCTTTCAAATTGTAGTTTATAGGATCAAACATTTGCTGGAAGAACAAATTAGATGCAGGGATAAAAGTGCAAATTTTCCATCCAGGTTCTCAATGCATTACCATTATGGCTTACTGTAACTTTGCTCTACATTGAGCACAGCACAAGGACACAGACCTGTTGGAGCAAGTCCAGCAGGACACAAAGATGATTAGAGAGATGGAACATTTCTCCTATGAGGAAAGACTGAGACAGTTAAGATTGTTCATCCTGGAGGACTTTGGGGAGACCTTATGGTGGCCTTCCAGTACCAAAAAATGGCTACAAGAGAGTTGGAAAAAGACTTTTTACAAGGGCATGTAGTGACAGGATGAGGGGGAATCGTTTTAAACTGAAAATCATTAGTTTAGACTGGGTGATAAGAAGAAATTTTTTACTGTGAATGTGGTGAGACACTTGCAAAGGGTACTCAAGGAATTTGTGGATGCTTCATTCCTCAAAGTGTTCAAGAAAAGCTTGTTTGGGGCTCTGAGCAATCGGGTCTAGTGAAAGGTGTCCCTGCCCATGGCTGTGAGGTTGGTACCAGATGATCATTAAGGTCCCTTCCAGCTGAGGTCATTCTGTGATTCTGTGATTAAGTCAAATAAGACATTGTCTTTCTGGTTGGTGGTTGTGTGAATGCAATATAACATCCCCTTAACTTTATTGAGGCTCTTTGATCACAGCCTGTTACAAACCAAATTTCAGTAAGTGCTTAAAAATATCAGAGAATCAGCACTACAGCCCTTGCCCTTATATATATGATCAGTGCAATCTCCATGTCATCCCTTCATCCATCTGCTTCAAACCTGCATTAATTGAGCACATATTTCACTCTGCTTCTACGTGAATTTTCTTTTCTTGTGGCTCTCTTAGGTTTTGTTTATTGTGTTGAATGAAAAGATTAATTGGCATTTTTGGCATGAACTGGCATGAAATGGCATTTTTGCAATGAACTACTTCTTTCTCCAAATTTTAGATTTTTTGCTTAATTGAAACTACAAGTGAAAAGCATTTATATTAATTTTTTCTTATTGCTTTCACCACTGAGTAGGAAATGAAGAGCAATTGTGTAAAAAAATCTGGAAAGAAGGAGACCAGAAATAATTGAACAAAGGAAACCAAACATTCAAACATTTTCACGAGTGAAATATGGGAATGCTTTAAAATTATTTTTAAAATTATTATTTTAAAATTTATATGAAAGTTATTTTACATTTTTTAGCCCATTTGCAAAATCTTGTTTCCATTCTTCTGTAAATTTAGCAACTTTTGATTAAGGTGTACTTCATGCAGTCACAAATGAAGTTTAAAGAATTTGCCATTGCATTTCTCTTCAAAGAACCAAGACATCAACACCTGGTATATTGCAGTGTCTGTTCTTTGTGTGACCAGGATGAATATTTGCTGACAATGTGAAGACCTGAAAGTTTTATAAGATTTGGTGGTCATTCCAATTTAGACGTTTCTCTGAAATTTCCAGTCTCAATTCAAACCCTGTGGATCTATAAAGCTGATTTTTACTCTTGTCTTCTCTGTAGGACTGGTTATGATAGTCAATTTAACTCCAAAATAGTTTGCTGACTGCAAATTTAATGTGTTTCAGAGAAAAAGAAATTCTAAAGTGATCAATTGTAGAATAAAATGTCTTTATTTCCAAAGTTGCTTGATTAATACTTGTCCTATAGACCAGTTCTAGTATTAAGATACGTCCTAAAAAATCCCCTCCAAAACAACCCCCACCCCCAAAAATAAAACAAACCCAAAAACCCCACAAACACCTCAAAAAGAGATTTTTGGGTTTCAACAGAGATGAACTTTTTGTGTTTTTTGAAAATCAAGCACCTTAGAAGTATCCAGACTCCAATCTGCGTTGATTAGGATCTGATATGTGTTGTAGTAGTTTTCTGCTCATGATGCACTGATTTTTAAAAATAATCGTTAAGTATTAAGAATAAAGCTTATTCTAATTTCTCAGTTACTGGTAGAAAGGAATGACTGTACTTCTGAAGGAAAATAAACCCCAAACCAAGACCTAACCTAAGTTTTGTAGAATTCGTAAGTGATGAAAAGCTTATGGACATGCCTGATAAAAAAACTTTATCTGTAACTGTAGTTGTCAGAAAAGTTTTTGTGGCACTTGTGAGCTGCAAGCAGCAGAGATACTGTGGTGAGTTTCTTTGAGGTCTCCATGGCCTTCACCCGAGGAGCTGGCGGGGCTCAGTGTGCTCTGCAGATTTTGGCTCTCGTGCTGGCTGGCAGCCAGAGCATTAGTGCTGGCCCCGCTCCTGCCTGTGCCTGGAATGACTCCCCAGGAGACAGCACAGCCCCCACCAGGCACTGCTACAGAGGCAAAGTGCTTGAGTAAACTCAGGCCATCTGTTGGCTGCATAAATTAGCTTTCCATATTTGCCCATCTAGCTATAAGGTATCCACCTTTTTTTTCTTCTGTTTTTTTCTTTTTTTTTCCTTTTTTTCCCCCATATTTCCCCTCCAAATACTGTATTTTTTCTTTATCGAGTTCTAGTAAGACAGAGATAGGCAAATGCATTTTTTGCATCTTTTTTCTTCCTTCATTCTTAATGGTTACATGCTTTTCACTGTAGTGTCTTTGATTAACAAATAAAATTATCTCCTTCATATACATGTTGTGCTTTAGAAACAGTTAATGGCTTCTATATAGAGGAGAAACACATTTGTATTTTCCTTTTTCCACCTCATCTTTTTTCCCCATTTCCTCTTTTGTATTTCTGCTTTTCTCTTTTTTCCTCTTGTTCCTCTTTCTCTTTCCTTGTGAATACTATTATATGAATAAATAGATAAGGGACTAAACTGATTAAATTAGTACAAATTAAATGAATTAATTCAATTGGTATGTTTGTATTTCAGCTTTCAAGGAAGAATTCAATCCAGCAATAACTATTTTACTCGAAATTCAGTAATTTTAAACGATCTCCATTTTACTGCTTTCTTAGCTCTCAGTGGGAATCAGATTCCTTGAGCATTCTGCAGTTGGTTAGTTTATCACTAAAACAGGTCAATTTTGAAGATTTATTAAATGATTTTTAGTGTTAGCTTCTACCTCTCAGACAAAAAGGTGAAGTACTTCTTTCACAGGGCCCATTTGTATTATAGAGACTACTAACAGTAGTCTTTATAAAGCTCCAATAAGAACAGATGACATCTTGATGCCTCTTCTCTCAAGTCACTTGGTTTATTTTGAATGTGTACTGTCATTTTGATTTATTTCCATTTTTTTCTTTGGCAGATTTATTTGAAAAACACAGCATTGTATACTGTAGAAGCAAACAACCCTCGTCAGCTAGTGGAAATTGCAGCCAGAGACATTGAAAAACTTCTAAGTAACAGGTCTAAAGCCTTGGTGGTGAGTACGAATGGGTTAAGTTTTCTATTTAGTACTTTGAAAGATTTTTATTTACTGTTGAAACATGCTTTCATTGTTATTTTTACTGCCTATACACTTAGAGGCAGTGTCAGTGTGATGTGTATAAGACATGACAAGTAGAAAGATGGCTCCTGACTTCATGGTAAAAATGAACTCGTTTGTTGGCATAGGGCAGATGTTTATAATATTGACCGACAGAGAGGAGCCATGGCCAAGTAAGAAACCAAGTTATAAATAGATTGGAAAATATTCCTCTAGGTGACGCACATGAATGTGTATGGCTTCAAGATCACTGTTCTCCATAAGTCAGTAATGAGCTTGTGGTATAGAGAAACAGGGTTGCTTTTTTTTTTTTTTTCTGATTTGCTAATTTAACCTGTATTTCAAACATATTTTGTGTGAAGGCCATGCTTCAGTGTGGCCTCAATTTTTTCTCCCTTAAATAAGAAGTATCTGTTCCTTTAAAATGCTTTTTGACAGCAGTCCTTTTCTCTTTTATCCTGTGAGACATCAGACCTGGATTATTGCTTTGTATGGCTCCTACTCACGTCACTCTCACCAGTATAAGAATTTAAAGTGCTTTTCAGAAGATACTGACCAAACAGGCATGGAGGGATCTGGATGAATTAGAAAACATACTTCATTGAGAATAGAACTATTAGAAATAGGCTTAAAGGATGGAAAAGCAGACTTTGGAAAAGCCCAAGGATTCCTTGGGCAATTACATATCCATATGGGCTCGCAGATTAGTTTGGATGTGTCATTTAAAGTGAAAGAGAGGAGAAAGAGGGATTCATTCACCTACCTGTAGACATCTACTCAGCTGGTCATCCTAAGCTCCTTTTTTTGTTCATTGGAATAAAACAGGTCTCAGTCAGTACTGACCTGACATTTTCTGAGTAAGACTTTAAAATGGGATGAACTATAGCTGAGAAGAACTTACTTCTCTCTTTCTCAGCTGGAGAAGCCTCAAATCCAAATGTCTATATTGTAAGTGTGTAAAGTTGGGGGAGATGAGTCCCAACCACCCAGTCCTTTTATCAGTACAGTTTCATGCAGCTGAAGAATCAGTGTGAGTCAAACTGCTGCTGCTGCCCTGAGGACTCACCTTCTTGTAGGCAGTGAAATTTTGCACAGTTTGTTGCCTGTGCATAAGTACCACAATAGGAACCCATTGTCCTGCCTTTGGTTCTTAGCAGGACTTCATTCTTCCAGTTGCCATTGTTTACCTAATGCACAATGTGCATCAGTGTTATCTGGGTCAAAGCTTCTCTAAGTCATTCAACTTACTGGAAAATAGGTCTCATATTTTTCTTGTTTTACTGTTTTATCTCAGTGGGCTTGTGCTTATGTGGCATTCTGAAGTCTTTGTATTACCATTGCAAAATAAGTCATTTGCAGATCTTTGTGAATACACAATTTTCCCCACCGTTTTCCCTTCAACCCATATAAGTTTGATGTTTTTAAGTTATCACAGCAAAAGCTTGTATTTTCTCAAGCCTCAAGATTATTGTAGGGGTTTTTATATGTGTCTATGGTAGTTTGATCTTAAAATTTTAAGAAAATTAAATAAGTATCATGCTTACTTTAAGAAATATTCCAGAACAGTTTTTCTGTGAATGTGGAAGAAAGGTGCTACTCACTTCAGGCAAGCACATGGTCACATTTTGAGAAGGGCAATATGATTCAGTTTCCTGAGGTAAAAGAATACTAAATTAGGAGAAGGATGGTCCTTTCGTCCAGTAGCTCCTGACTTTTCTATTTGCAATTATCACAGATGTATACCAGAACTTTCAATCACTTCCAATTTTAAACCTTCCTGTACATTTTTTTTATACGCAGGAGACACTCATTATCTCCTGTACCTGATCTATTGATTTCTGCTAAGTGAATTTCTTCACTTTCCATATATATTTCTCTTTCTGCTTTTTTCAAGGACTACCTTTATGCTATCATTTTATAAACTTTATGTAATGAGACTGAATTGTTTACCTGAAATTTCAGTTGTCTTCAGTTTGATGGGTCACATTTACTCTGAAATCAGGAGTGGACTTGAATGGAACTGTTACTAATGACTGCATAGAGGGTTTTACCATTGGGGCTAATATGACTCCAAGTGTTAATTAAGACCTGGATCCTTAAGAGTATGATGCAAGGGCATCAGACATCCTCCAGTGATGCCATGGGGAAGGTGCCAGTGAATTACATCAACAGTGTTATTGTGCAGAGACTAGCATACCTCAGGGATGCCATGGTTTCCTCTAGGCATGAGACACGACCAACCTTTGGGCAAGGTTGTAATAAATAAATATTAATGATGACTTTTCTAATAGTAGGTTGCCTTCCCTTGAACCATAAGAGTACCTTTAAATGAGAAATATCTCTTGCACTCTGAATTATTCGTGTTTTCATTTAACTATGGGCTAGAAAAATCTCTAGCAATGAGAGTAAAATTACCAGGTAAATGGGTTTGAGTTTCTGTTTGACAGAAGCTTAAAACTGATGGTTGTAATAGGTACCTAGCTGAGGAAGGAGAAAGGGGAAAGCCCTGATCTGAACTCACAGGGCTTTCCTAGGTTACTTTTACTAGGAAATGCATTGGATAGAAGAAAAAGTTAGGATGAAAGGAAAATGGAAAATTTTCTAGCAAAGTGCAGTGGAGAAAGAGAGTAGTATAAGTAATATAGAGAGAGAAAGGCAATAGCCTTCTAGTGAGGGATGTCAGACTGTCTTGTAATGGAGCCTGTTGTTGAAATAGTGAACACTTATTTTACAGCTCACTGCTGTGTACTGCTGTGTATTTGTCTGGCCTTACCCTGCTGAACACTTCCTATTTCAGTATAATGGATTCCCATATGGAAACGGTCCTGCAAGGAACAAGGATTGTTCCTTGATTCCTATGGGTCCCTTCAAACTCAAGATAGTCTATAATTCTACAATTTCATGATACCACAGAGAAGTTAATATTCTGTCTCAGTGTACCCTACTAAATGGTAGGTACAGATGAGCTGTGCTACACTGATTGCAACCTGCATCCCCAGGTGTGTGCTGCAGATGGGTGGAGGTTTCACTGAAAATGTATCCTGCAATAGCTATTGGCAAAACTCACAAAGCCTTTCCAAGGATACCAACAAATAGTATGCCTAGCCCTTTGGGCTCTCTGGCACTCAAATTGTTCATTTTTTGCTGGACCTGGACTTAGCTTTAGTTTTAGCATTCCTACCCCATTCACGAGTGAAATAGATTTCTGAAGTTATGTAGATCCTGCTAATAGATCAGAATCTTTTCATTAAAATGGAATGTTTAGAACATAGTAGTACTTATTTGATGAGTATTGTTGGAAATACTAGAGTACCTGACATTGTACTATATTTATAAAATATGGTTTGAGGAGTTATAAATATTTCCTCATTGACTATATTCAATTAAACCCTTTTAAAGTTATTAATATGGAAGATGGATTAGTAATACTTTTTTTTTTCTCATGTAAAATACTGTAGTAATCTTAAGAATTACAAAGATCCTAATTCTTTTTTGTCATACTATAAAATTAGGAGGGTATATTTTTAATACTTCTGGGGTTTTGTTTTGTGTTTATGCATTGTATCATGATTTAAATTTAAACAGCAACTTCACTCCTGTGCAGTATGAAGTTGGTGGCTGTGCAGCCCTTGGCCTTCCTCTCCCCATTGCTCAGTACACGTTGGGGAGCATCCTGAATCTTCTACAGCAGGCAAATCTGCAGTTTTACCACTTCTTCTTTTTGCTCAGATATTTGAAGATAGTAAGCAATTTATACCTTTTAGGAAGAAGAAAATTAAAGAAAGCAAATTAAGAATAACAAATACCTAGTAACAGTCTTTTCAAGCCCAGACTGCAGAAGTTTTAGGGAAAAGGATCAAAACATCGTATTTCTTGCTTAGCTAAGATCCCTTTCTGCATTTGGAAATAATTTAATGTTTGACTGTTTGTGTTTGAGATTAATACTAATTATCCTCCTATCCAAAATTAGAATTTATGCATATTCCCCTGCAAATCTTTTCCATATTAAAATACCTCTTTCTGGAAAGCTTCAGTGTCTGGATATTATTGTTAACACTATGTTGTACACTCACAGTGCATTTATTAGTACGCTTTTCTTCCATTACTGCCCACGCTGTAAGGCAATAGCATAATGACCATTAGTGTAAAGCAAACATTCAAGCTCCACTAAAATACATTTCACTGGAGAATGAGAGACAGTCATATTTTCACTGCTGAATCCCTGCCTATGATTTATTTGTTTTGCTTTGGGGTCATTTGTGTCTGTTTTTAACTAACTCGTGTTAAGGTTGCTGAAGGGAAGGCTGTAGTCAGTACCCTTGGCTTCTTGAGCTGTGTGTACATAAAGATGAATTACATGCACTTTTGCACTGTATTGTCTAGATTTCTCCAGACATCTCAACCAGAGGCATAATATCTTCATTGTAGCCTCCTTGCCTTGATTTAAGAAAACTGAGGAAGCTGAGTTTCCATGGAAACTGAGGCACAGATTGTGTGCTAGGAGACAGGTTCCCTCTGCGTGCTGTTGGGAAATGTCCAAGGTGCACAACTGTGTCTCTGAATGAGGAGCTCAGAATGTTTATCTGCTGGTTTAGATGCAATTTCAACACAGCTGTGCAAGTGTGTCCAGATCTTTCAGTATTTCCCTGTCTGCCTGAAATAAGGCTTCAGTGTCTCACAATAAAACTGGGAAGCTTAAATGTGTTATAACATATTTTGAGGTTCCCAGGCAGAGATCCTGCGCACTTTAAATAGGATTGGGAATTTTTGTGTAGCCTGAAAGACCTATAAAAGTAAAATAAATTTTTTAGATATGCTTGATCCTACTGTTTTTTAAAGGTATCTTCATTCCAGCTAGAGTTTTGTTTTGTTATCTAAAACCAACCTAACATTCTCAAAACCACTCTGGGACACCTACCTTCTGGTCTTCTGATCAT